CTTATGCACTGTTGGTGGGAGTGTAAATTAGTTCAACCATTGTGGAAGACAGTGTGGCAACTCCTTGAAGACCTAAAGACAGAAATACCATTTGACCCAGCAATTCATTATTGGGTATTTACCCAAAGCAATGTGAATCATTCTATTATAAAGACACATGCATGCGTATGTGCATTGCAGCACTATTCACAATAGCAAAGACACGGAATCAACCTAAATGCCTATCAGTGATAGACTGGATAAAGAAAATGTTGTACATATACTCCGTGCCACTGTGCACCTATAAAAAAAAATGAGATCGTATCCTTTGCAGGAATGTGGATGGAGCCGTAAGCCATGATTCTTAGCAAACTAACACAGGAATAGAAAACTAAATACCACTGGAACTTAAAAGAATTTGGTAGCTTTTCCAATAATTCCCTGACAGCATTTTGATTTTGTTTGTATATGACATCTATTACATATAAGACATTTGGATTACACAGATGAACAGGGTTCGACATACCTGCCCTACAGGAGTTTATAGTTCATTGGCATGGATAGGTGTAAATGATTAATTTATTCTGGAGAATAATACTTGTAAATAAAAAGACTTGTATTGAGGAGCTGAATGGTAATAGTGATCAATTGTGCCACTGACATAGAGGGAAAATCAAAGAGGGCTTTATAGAGGAGGTGACATTTGAGTGGGTGTCAGGGTTTAATACAACCTTTTTTTGTGTTAATGCTGCTGGTGCAGAGTATACTCTTTTTTTTTTTGAGACTGAATCTCACTCTGTCACCCAGGCTAGAGTGCAGTGGTGCAGTCTCGGCTCACTGCAACCTCCGCCTCCCAGGTTCAAGAGTAGCTGGGATTACAGGCATGAGCCACTGCACCCAGCCCCAGAGTAAAAAATTATTTGCAGCCTGGCCAACATGGTGAAACTCTGTCTCTACTAAAAATTCAAAACATTAGCTGGGCATTGTGGCGTGTGCCTGTAATCCCAGATACTCAGGAGGCTGAGGCGAGAGAATTGCGTGAACCCGGGAGGCGGAGGTTGCAGTGAGCCAAGATCGCCACTGCATTCCAGCTTGGGCAATAGAGCAAGACTCCATCTTAAAAAACAAAACAAAACAAAAGCCTGGGCATGGTGGCTCATGCCTGTAATCTCCGCACTGTGGCAGGTGGAGGTGGCTGGATCACAAAGTCTGGAGTTTGAGACCAGCCTAGCCAATATGGTGAAACACTGTGTCTACTAAAAATACAAAAATTCGCCAGGCATGGTGGCGGGCACCTGTTGTCCCAGCTACACAGGAGGCTGAGGCAGGAGAATTGCTTGAACCCGGGAGGTGGAGACTGCAGTGAGCTGAGATCACGCCACTGCATTCCAGCCTGGGTGACAGAGCAAGACTCAGTCTCAAAAAAAATTATTTAAAAAAAAATGTTACCCGTTGACTCTAAAATATATTGAGGGGTCCTCCCCCAATGACATAAAAATGAACAAGTGTGTAAACAGTTAAAAAGTTCCTTCTCAACTTTTTTTTTTTTTTTTTTTGAGCGACAGGGCTCTGTCTCCCAGACTGGAGTGCAGTGGTGTGATCTCAGTTTACTGCAAGCTCTGCCTCCCGGGTTCACGCCGTTCTCCTGCCTCAGCCTTTCAAGTAGCTGGGACTACAGGTGCCCGCCACCACACGCGGCTAATTTTTTTTTGTATTTTTAGTGGAGACAGGGTTTCTCCATGCTAGCCAGGATGGTCTCGATCTCCTGACCTTGTGATCTGCCCGCCTCCGCCTCCCAAAGTGCTGGGATTATACAGGCGTTAGCCACCACGCCTGGCGGAGATGGAGTTTCACTCTTGTTGCCCAGGCCGGAGTGCAGTATCCCAATCTCGGCTCACTGCACCTCTGCATCCCAGGTTCAAGTGATTCTCCTACCTCAGCCTCCTGAGTAGCCGGGATTACAAGCACCTGCCACCATGCCCAGCCGATTTTTATATTTTTAGTAGAGATGGGGTTTCATCATGTTGGCCAGGCTGGTCTCGAACTCCTGACCTCGGGTGATCCACCCGCTTTGGCCTCCCAAAGTGCAGGGATTACAGGTGTGAGCCACTGTGCCCAACCTTACTTAAGCTTTTTATATTGTAGTAGAAAATTTAAGTCTTACAATTTCCTTAAAATATTCCATAAACAATGTGTTGGAGTGATTTTACTCTTTTCTTGAAACATTGGTCATTTTTTTTTTTTTTGACTTTTTTTTTTTTTGAGACTGAGTCTTGCTCTGTCGCCCAGGCTGGAGTGTAGTGATGTGATCTTGGCTCATGGCAACCTGTGCCTCCCGGGTTCAAGGGATTCTCGTGCCTCAGCCTTATGGATAGCTGGGATTACAAGCGCATGCCACCATGCCCAGCTAATTTTTGTATTTCTAGTAGAGACAGGGTTTCACCATATTGGCCAGGATGGTCTTGAACTCCTGACCTCAAGTGATCCTCCTGCCTTGGCCTCCCAACGTGCTGGGATTACAGGCATTGAGCCACTGCGCCTGACCATACATTGTTCATTTTCTTATTTAAAACTAAGTGAGTAACCCTGACTGGTAAGTAGAAGCCTGAACTCAGTGACTCCAAGCTAAGTATAGTTTTGCCTGTAAAGGGAGATCATTGAAGGAGCGGCCGGTTCTGCCCGAGAGCCTCCTCTA